GTTTATTCAAGGCGTTTAAAATAGGCTACACGGAGCACATAACATTGCCTATTTTACAGCCGTTAAGGCACCTGTGTTCAATACTTCCTGTTCTGTGTCGCTAAACTGTTTTATAACATCTCTATTAAGCATCGACAAGCATTAAACAACCTTGGTCAGGCAGTAGATAAATGGCATGCAATATTGATTGAGCTAGCGTTAAGCAAATTGGACAAGTTGACTCTACAACAATGGGAACGGTCATTGGGCACAACTGATGTAGTTCCATTTTCCCAGTTTGAAATTTTTCTCAACTCTCGTATTAGGTTACTTGACGCGTTTGAAAGTGGTCAGCGAGGACTTGTTGTGTTTAACAGAAAATCCGACGAGCACAAATCTACCGGCTCAAAGAATAAATTGTGTTTATTACTCAAAGTTCTCCCTCACAATGTCCATTATGTCGCGGTGATCACTTGTTTCATCGATGTTACAAGTTCCGGAGTATAAAGGTTTCTGAAAGATATGAAGTAGCAAAGGGATCGCGCGTCTGTTTTAATTGTTTGTCACCTAACCACAATGCAAAGGGTTGTTCGTCAAGCAACTGTCGCACTTGTTCAGCTCGCCATCATACTTTGCTACATTATGATGCAATTAAGCGAACATCAAATGTTCAACCTAAAAAGGAACCAACACAATCCCTAGTTAAAGACTCAACAGAAAATGATCAACCTTCTTCGTCCTTAGTATTATTATTAGTCGACATAAAAATTAGTTGTGTACAGAAATCAGTCATACATTATAAAAATAATGAGGGCAGTAATAGCACAGTGCTGGCGTTACATTGAACTAAAAATATCCTAAATTTCCAGGTTACAGTCTAGTACCTTTATCTATCACTTCCCTACGTGAAATAAAATTTGTTGACAATTGTACGCCCCATAAGCTGTGGTAGTCTATTACAGTTGTGATAAAAAATAACTTAATATGCCAAATCTAGAGTAGAGAAATATGAATACATTGGGTTTTTTTTTTACATATATTTAAATATTGTAATAATTAGTTTTGTTTGCGTTTAGGGAGAGGAACATAATGTAGAACCGCACCCAAATGAACCTATATTAACAACAGAACACAGAGTAGACGAAGAGGATGTCGAAGAGGTCCCACGTGGACCAAAGCCGGATTTGGTAAGTCTAAAATACTAGAAATTGACTATGGCCAAATTTTATTCCCCTTTTTTTACAATCCATAAAGGCTTATAGACTAATTTCCTTAAAAGGGTTGGATAATTTTTCTTGCCACTGGCTTTCCTGATACCACACTTCGTTCTATTGAACTAAAAATGTCCTAAATTTACAACTTACAGACTAGTAGCCTTATCAATCGCTTTCCTACGTGAAATACAATTTTTTACGATTCTACTCCCCATGAGCTGTGGTAGTCTATTAGAGTTGTGATAAAAAATAACTAAAAATGCCAAAACTGGAGAAGAAAAATGTTAATACCTTGGGTTTTTTTTTTACATATATTTAAGTATTGTATTAATTAGTTTTGTTTGCGTTTAGGGAGATGAACATAATGTGGAACCGCACCCAAATGAACCTATATTAACAACAGAACACAGAGTAGACGAAGAGGATGTCGAAGAGGTCCCACGTGGACCAAAGCCGGATTTGGTAAGTCTAAAATACTAGAAATTGACTATGGCCAAATTTTATTCCCCTTTTTTTACAATCCATAAATGCTTATAGACTAATTTCCTTAAAAGGGTTGGATAATTTTTCTTGCCACTGGCTTTCCTGGTACCACACTTCGTTCTATTGAACTAAAAATATCCTAAATCTACAGGTTACAGTCTAGTAGCTTTATTAATCGCTTTCCTACGTGAAATAAAATGTTTTACGACTGTACGCCCCATAAGCTGTGGTAGTCTATTACAGTGATGATAAAAAATAACTAAATATGCCAAAACTGGAGTAGAGAAATATAAATACAATGGGTTTTTTTTTTACATATATTTAAATATTGTAATAATTAGTTTTGTTTGCGTTTAGGGAGAGGAACATAATGTAGAACCGCACCCAAATGAACCTATATTAACAACAGAACACAGAGTAGACGAAGAGGATGTCGAAGAGGTCCCACGTGGACCAAAGCCGGATTTGGTAAGTCTAAAATACTAGAAATTGACTATGGCCAAATTTTATTCCCCCTTTTTTACAATCCATAAAGGCTTATAGACTAATTTCCTTAAAAGGGTTGGATAATTTTTCTTGCCACTGGCTTTCCTGATACCACACTTCGTTCTATTGAACTAAAAATGTCCTAAATTTACAACTTACAGACTAGTAGCCTTATCAATCGCTTTCCTACGTGAAATACAATTTTTTACGATTCTACTCCCCATGAGCTGTGGTAGTCTATTAGAGTTGTGATAAAAAATAACTAAAAATGCCAAAACTGGAGAAGAAAAATGTTAATACCTTGGGTTTTTTTTTTACATATATTTAAGTATTGTATTAATTAGTTTTGTTTGCGTTTAGGGAGATGAACATAATGTGGAACCGCACCCAAATGAACCTATATTAACAACAGAACACAGAGTAGACGAAGAGGATGTCGAAGAGGTCCCACGTGGACCAAAGCCGGATTTGGTAAGTCTAAAATACTAGATATTGACTATGGCCAAATTTTATTCCCCCTTTTTTACAATCCTTAAAGGCTTATAGACTAATTTCCTTAAAAGGGTTGGATAATTTTTCTTGCCACTGGCTTTCCTGATACCACACTTCGTTCTATTGAACTAAAAATGTCCTAAATTTACAACTTACAGACTAGTAGCCTTATCTATCACTTCCCTACGTGAAATAAAATTTGTTGACAATTGTACGCCCTATAAGCTGTGGTAGTCTATTACAGTTGTGATAAAAAATAACTTAATATGCCAAATCTAGAGTAGAGAAATATGAATACATTGGGTTTTTTTTTTACATATATTTAAATATTGTAATAATTAGTTTTGTTTGCGTTTAGGGAGAGGAACATAATGTAGAACCGCACCCAATTGAACCTATATTAACAACAGAACACAGAGTAGACGAAGAGGAAGTCGAAGAGGTCCCACGTGGATCAAAGCCGGATTTGGTAAGTCTAAAATACTAGAAATTGACTATGGCCAAATTTTATTCCCCCTTTTTTTACAATCCATAAATGCTTATAGACTAATTTCCTTAAAAGGGTTGGATAATTTTTCTTGCCACTGGCTTTCCTGGTACCACACTTCGTTCTATTGAACTAAAAATATCCTAAATCTACAGGTTACAGTCTAGTAGCTTTATTAATCGCTTTCCTACGTGAAATAAAATGTTTTACGACTGTACGCCCCATAAGCTGTGGTAGTCTATTACAGTGATGATAAAAAATAACTAAATATGCCAAAACTGGAGTAGAGAAATATAAATACAATGGGTTTTTTTTTACATATATTTAAATATTGTAATAATTAGTTTTGTTTGCGTTTAGGGAGAGGAACATAATGTAGAACCGCACCCAAATGAACCTATATTAACAACAGAACACAGAGTAGACGAAGAGGATGTCGAAGAGGTCCCACGTGGACCAAAGCCGGATTTGGTAAGTCTAAAATACTAGAAATTGACTATGGCCAAATTTTATTCCCCCTTTTTTACAATCCATAAAGGCTTATAGACTAATTTCCTTAAAAGGGTTGGATAATTTTTCTTGCCACTGGCTTTCCTGATACCACACTTCGTTCTATTGAACTAAAAATGTCCTAAATTTACAACTTACAGACTAGTAGCCTTATCAATCGCTTTCCTACGTGAAATACAATTTTTTACGATTCTACTCCCCATGAGCTGTGGTAGTCTATTAGAGTTGTGATAAAAAATAACTAAAAATGCCAAAACTGGAGAAGAAAAATGTTAATACCTTGGGTTTTTTTTTTACATATATTTAAGTATTGTATTAATTAGTTTTGTTTGCGTTTAGGGAGATGAACATAATGTGGAACCGCACCCAAATGAACCTATATTAACAACAGAACACAGAGTAGACGAAGAGGATGTCGAAGAGGTCCCACGTGGACCAAAGCCGGATTTGGTAAGTCTAAAATACTAGATATTGACTATGGCCAAATTTTATTCCCCTTTTTTACAATCCTTAAAGGCTTATAGACTAATTTCCTTAAAAGGGTTGGATAATTTTTCTTGCCACTGGCTTTCCTGATACCACACTTCGTTCTATTGAACTAAAAATGTCCTAAATTTACAACTTACAGACTAGTAGCCTTATCTATCACTTCCCTACGTGAAATAAAATTTGTTGACAATTGTACGCCCTATAAGCTGTGGTAGTCTATTACAGTTGTGATAAAAAATAACTTAATATGCCAAATCTAGAGTAGAGAAATATGAATACATTGGGTTTTTTTTTTACATATATTTAAATATTGTATTAATTAGTTTTGTTTGCGTTTAGGGAGAGGAACATAATGTGGAACCGCACCCAAATGAACCTATATTAACAACAGAACACAGAGTAGACGAAGAGGATGTCGAAGAGGTCCCACGTGGACCAAAGCCGGATTTGGTAAGTCTAAAATACTAGAAATTGACTATGGCCAAATTTTATTCCCCCTTTTTTACAATCCATAAAGGCTTATAGACTAATTTCCTTAAAAGGGTTGGATAATTTTTCTTGCCACTGGCTTTCCTGATACCACACTTCGTTCTATTGAACTAAAAATGTCCTAAATCTACAACTTACAGACTAGTAGCCTTATCAATCGCTTTCCTACGTGAAATACAATGTTTTACGATTGTACGCCCCATGAGCTGTGGTAGTCTATTACAGTGGTGATAAAAAATAACTAAAAATGCCAAAACTGGAGAAGAAAAATGTTAATACCTTGGGTTTTTTTTTTACATATATTTAAGTATTGTATTAATTAGTTTTGTTTGCGTTTAGGGAGAGGAACATAATGTAGAACCGCACCCAAATGAACCAAAACCAATCACAGTAAGTCTGAAATACTGAAATATATTGTATGAACTTAAAGCCTTATCGATTGCATCCCTACGTGGAATATAAACTTTTGGCGACTGTTCGCCTTATAAGCTGTGGTACTCACAGCTGGGTACTGTATTATAGTTGTAATATAAAAATAAATATGCCAAAACTGGAGTAGAGAAATATTATTACCTTGTGTCTTTTTTTTGCATATATTTAAATAATGTATTAATTAGCTTTGTTTGCGTTTAGGGAGAAGAACAGAGAAGAGTTGATATGGAGGACGAAGAGGTCCCACAAGGACCAAGGCCGGATTTGGTAAGTTTAATATACTAGAAGTTTACTATAGTCAATTTTTTCCCCCTCTTTTTACAATCCATAAATGCTTATTAACTAATTTTCTTAAAAGGGTTGGATAATTTTTCTTTATTTTGTTTTTAAATTGAAGTTTTTGGGGTTTAAAAAATCTGAAAATTAGACCACAGGTAAATTTAAAATATACAATTATATCAATTTTTTCTTTATTTTGTTTTTTCAGCGACGTTATATGGAAATGTTGGTTAGAGAAGAGGTAAGTACCAAAAATAAAAATTTGTCGTTTAATGAGATACTATGGGAATACGACCCTAGAATGCATGGACATTTAATCGACTATACTGGAAGATTCATTATGGATAAGACAATCAATTTCTATTAAACTATTTCGAATTTTGTAGTTTTTCAATTGAAAACTTTTGTTTATGTTATTTTACAATATGAGGTCGTATTCAAATATGTATCTTTCTGATTTTCTCTCAGAGCTCTATCAACTTTTAAAATTTAAATGGTAACATCTATTTATATTTTATTGGCTCTTTTAATTAGTTAAGTGCGGTAAAGTTGTAAAATTCTCCTTCCCCTCTCCATATTTATTACATATTTATTGTTATTTCAAAAATTTTTAAGCAAATTATCGCTTATCTAAAAAGTTTATCAAATATTTATACATGGAACCTGAGTTTTAAGAGTTGATTACACCCTGGAAAGTTGTTAATAAAACAATTTTTTGATAATTTTCAGAGGAGGCAGCATGCTTGTATGAGGTGCAAGGAGTTCGGGCACCTCGGGCACCAGTGCCATCTGCCCTGGGTGGAGTCCAAAGAAAGTCCCGAACATTATGCAAGAAGAACCAGGGGGCGCCGTAGGCGTTAGAGATCACTCTAGTGATCTCAGTACATGCACCGTTCTATACCCTGTTCGCTAAGAGAGCACGCCGGGCAGTGTTGGGCAAAATCGTAATCATAATTACCTTTACGTTTATAATCATGAAAATTTTAAGGTGTGGTTACGATTACACTTATGATTATGGTAACGATTACTATTACACTCGTAATCACAACCTTTTTCTATGATTACGGCCGTATACACAGATTTCCTCTGTGATTACAGTCGTATTTCTACTTTTTTCTGTGATTACAAGTGTAATCATAATTAAATTCGGGATTATGAATGTAATCGTAATCGTAATCATATCTTCGGTATCTGTGATTGCAATCGTAATCGTAATTACATTTCCGGGCCTGTGATTATAATTGTAATCGTAATCACACCTTAAAATTTTATGATTATAATCGTAATTATGATTACGATTACGCCCAACACTGATTCCGGGTTTGCGCGTGTTGACTGAAGACTAAGTAGCAAGACTAAGGCAGGCAGACAGAGCGGACTTACGGGGGAACGTTAGTCACATGCCGCAACCCAACGAAAATTGGCCGTTCTGCGCACCCCCCCGTGGCACCAAGTGTGACTAACGTTTCCCCCGAAGTCCGCCCTGTCTGCCAGGCTTAGTCTTCAGTCTACACGCGCAAACCCAGCATGCTCTCTTAGCGAACAAGGTATAAAATGGTGCATGTACTTTACGGCCTGGCTTTGATACCGGCACATCAAAGCCGACTAGGCCCTTATTTTGGTCGCCGGGGTTCCCACTCTAGCCGCATCTTCTCCGACTTCGATACCTCCTATCACTCTACCTCTAGTCCGCCAAATGCTTTTAATCTCCAGTTCTCCGGTTTTATCGGTCCAACCACCACTGCTTATGTCCTGGGTACTTGACCCTTTAGCTCATCCGCCGTCACTCTCCTCCGGCCGCCTCTTGTTGGCGCATTGAGAAGTGGCGCAGACTCTCTTGTGGCGATCTCCTATCAACCTCGCTCCATTCTACAAGTTGCTCATGAACCTTACTCGCGTGTCACTGGCCGGGCCAGTGGGAAGAGCCGGCGACATTTCGGCTACCGACTACCGTTTGACAGTGTTGGGCAAATGTAATCTGTTTAATTATTACGATAAATAATAGTTATCAGTAATCATCGTGTTAGATTAATACAATCATATAAATGTAATCATGATTACATTTATGATTACATTAATCTTTTAAATGTGATCATGAAATGATTAATGATTATATTTTTTTAACCGCCATAGGTTTTATGTATTACATAATACATATATCAAAAAAAATATATGGGATGTCTAAGACGATTTGACCTTTGCAATATCATCTAGACAATTATTATTATTTTGTAATAAGCCTGGGGCGGTTAAACAATTTCTTTTTGTAATGTTTTCATGATTACAATTGAAAATATAATCATGATTACTGATTACTTTTACAAAATGATAATATGATTAATGATTAATTTAATCATGATTACAATGCTGTAATCGATTACGTAATCCAATAATAAATTAATCGGTTACGCCCAACACTGCCGTTTGAAGGGCATTACTGCCAATATCATACTACAATATACATGTATTCTTTTTTTTTGTCCCTTTAAGCATTTTTGTATTGTCGTACCTATTGCACCACACCTTCAGTTTTGCGCAGGCGAACCCTCCCACTTCTGATGTGATGTGGTGTAAATAGATGAATAAAAGCCATTTAAATACAAACTCCACCCCATTGCATTGTAATAACTTCAAAGTTAACATTGTAAAATTTTTTTTTATAAAAATTGTTTTAATATCTAATGTAAAAAAAAAATATTATGTAAAACCATCTGGTTAAAATCATATTATTCTTGATAATGTGTGTATAATAATATACAATAACCGTAATGTTAATAAATACAGTACTAATTGCTAAACAAAAAAAAATGTTTTTTATTTAACTAAAATACATTGATAATAATATACAAGGTAATGCATTGTTTAAAACCAATTGCGTAATGTAAACATTTTATAAAAAGTACAGTGTTGTTTAGGGCTTACATTCATGTGAAATAAACACGTTGGGTATCCATCATCAGAGTGTAATTGATCTATGCGAGGACAAACAATATCTTCAAGGTTATTTATGTTATTATGTGATAAACTCATGTAAAATATCTTTTTTCTATAGTCCATATATGGTTGTAAATGTTAAAGCATTTAAAATTATTGATAGTTCTTCCGCTTCATAATGAGGTGCCATTGAGTGAAGGTGTTTGGTTAGCCATTTGTTAACATTTTGTGTTTTAATGTTTAAAGATTGTGTAACATACATACCTACTTATATAAATATATATAAATAAAAAAAAAAAAAAGTACCAACCAACCAAGTTCATACTTACATTGGGTTCATTCGGTTTTTATCGAGAGCTCAGACAACACATCTGTCCTTTTTGTACTTTTCGTTGGTTAAAAATGGAATACGAAGTTGTCGACGGATTTCGTAAAAATAGTAAGCTACATCATAGTAATGATGGCTTTTTTTACCGCGTAAAGAAAGTGAGGCTATCGTCTACCTCACTAAGTTGTATAAAACCCAACTGCACTGCGAGAGGTATGATTTATTGCTATATATTATTTTAGAAAACTAATCTTTTTTCTCAATATGAATTATTTGTAACCCGATTGTAAATGGAAAACTGAAGCAATTAGTAGTTAGACGTAATCGTACTTATTTTACGAATACACAATAAAGCAGTGTACCATTTAAGTGTACCATTTTAACTCAACAGATTTTTTTTAATTAGGTAATACTCCACTTAATTAGAAAAATATCTTTTAAAAGGCTTGAAATAAAAACCGTTTTATTTGATTTTTTTTAGAAAATAACACTATTTTTCAAAGAAAAAAGGCCAGCACCATGAGTTGCCCTAGTACACAATTTATAGATTTTAATATGATAATTTACAAAAATTGATCAATGGGTTAACTATCATGAATATTTTGTGGCAATTAGTATTTATATTCATAATAATTTTTTATAATCCGATTTGGTAAAAAACATAACAATGACTAAAGGGATTGAAAGCGGACAGTTTTTAAGGGGTTTTATAAAAGGCAATATTTAAGAAAAAAGCAACTTTTCAAACATTTTATTTAGTTACAGGTTACTTTGTAAAAGCTAGAGGCATCATTTTTAACTTTTACAATTTATTCTCCGAGTAAATGCCATTTTGTACATACAAGAAATTAATTAAGGGAAATGCATACGGTCGGTTTTAAAGGAATTTTGTATAGGCAATATTTAGGAAAAATGGTTTTAATAAATTTTGACCATGTCAATTAATTTACCGGTTAATTTGTATAAGCTTCATGGTGTTATTTTTAATTTAAATCATTTTGTCTATGAGTAAAGCCATTTTAGTTAATATAGTATACATATTTTGTTCTATCGCACAGGCTGAACCAGTGGTCCGATAATTTATCTGAAAATATATTTGAATTTGCCATGAAGTTTACTTCATCGGACAGGGCACTTTTTTGATATCTTATTCCAGTAGGAATAAGATAACCCAAAACGGGTTTTGTACATAGTAATGTACAAAACCCGTTTGAATATTATAAAAAATTTCAAATTTTAAAAGGGTAAAGGTAAAGGGTTTAAATTAAAAACCGAAAGTGTGCCCTGAACGATCCTAAGTAAACTTCATGACGAATTCAAATCTGTTTTTAGATTGTTTATCGGATCACCGTGTTGGCTTATGCAATTGAATAAAAATGATGTTTTGACTGAAAAAATTGACCGCATGTAATCCCCCCTTAAGACCTAAAATCTTGACAAAATTATGCCTACTTAATATGATTGAATTTTAATTCTGTATAAATATTTGGGCTCATGAGCTTTTTCCCTAGGTTACCGTGGAAGTCGGATTAATAAAACAATATAAAGGATACTAAAAACTTAAGAAATTAAAATAGGATTTAAACACAATTTTAATTGAAATATAAAATTATTTACACAATAACCTTGAAAAGAGGACGATTAACTTGACATTTTTTATATAAAATTCAAATTGGACATTCTACGTAGGCGTAATTTTGTCAGGATCTTAGGTCTAAAACTTCGAAAAAACCAGTCCGCTTTTAATCCTCTTAAGGCCGAAAACAGTTTATAACATTAAACTCTTCTTAACACAATATTGTAATTTTTTTTATTATATAAAGGACTTATCAGGAATGATAGATTTGAGGTGATCGGACTTCATAATCATGATCCTGATATGGAATATTTGTCCGCTGTACGTGTAAAAAGCCAAATTCTTCATCGTTGTTCAACAGAATTGACCAGTCTTAAAGTCATTTATGATGAAGAAATAACAC